TGGATTCCCATTTATGTCTAGAAATTACTGTTATTCCCCCAAACTGCAGATGCTGATTTTTCTCTATCTAGAAGAATACATTTATTGTCTAAAAGCAGGACTATAAACTAAATGTTGAATTGTGAAGGTTTCTTTCTTCCTTCCTTCCTTCCTTCCTTCCTTCCTTCCTTCCTTCCTTCCTTCCTTCCTTCCTTCCTTCCTTCCTTCCTTCCTTCCTTCCTTCCTTCCTTCCTTCCTTCCTTCCTTCCTTTCTTCCCTTCTTTTTGCTGTTTCTGGGTTCAGTGGCATTTGCCAAATATATGATAAGTGAATATAGTTCATTTATGTTTTAGAAACTCATTTGTTCTCCTTATGGAGGATGTTTCTTTGTAATACACACGTGTTCAGTTTCATTTTTCACATAACAATCATTTGTGCTTATGCAATGTAAAAAGAAAATGCTGAAAGTGTAGACAGTGCACATAGTCTCCAAGAGTACCAGTGCACTGCACATGCACTACTTCTAGCAGTTACAACAACAAATTTTACATTCAGGTATCCCAGGTGCAGATACGATTATAGACCCAGAGCATCGTGTCCATTGTCAAAGTACTTCTCTTACCCCATGTAAGGCCCTGACTACACCCAGAGTTTATTAAAAAATGTATTTTTATATCCCATGTAAGCAAGTATGTATACAGGGATGTATTGAACATGAGCTGCTATACTTAAAAAGAGGCAGACTCTGAGATGAGAAGTTAATTTCAAATTTTTGAGTATGCAGATTCTTTATAGAGAAGCTGCTGTGGAAATACTGCAGGTGGGGTTTTATAAATCCTCCAGTTTTCTTTCATTGGCTTTCATTAATTTGAACTCCTCTTCCCTATCTGTGTCCTCAGTATTCTTCTTTTATAGCCTACTCCACTCTCAGAGCCTTCAATCAGTTTTCTATTATGTTGCCACATGAAACTAAGCATCCGAATTATTGTTATCTGAGCTCTTCCTGACTGATCTTTTCTGTCCAGGTCTTCTAAATATTTGCTTTAATAATCTTCTACAAAGTACTTGCAGCTACCTCTCCAAGGCAGATGAAAATAATAAAAGCATATATTTTGTGATTTCTAGTTGTTGTATTAAAGAACTGAGTATGATCATTGAGGTCTCCCACTGCAACTCCAGTCATGTACTGATTATTAGCATTTCATACCGTGTTAGGACAAATGGGTAATTCTGTGATGGATAGGTGCTATGATGTATTCCTATGAGGCAAAGAGAGTGGTTAACTGTATAATCAGACACAGATATTATGATGCATATTTTAGTCTTCTGTGTTTTAGTTACAATCCACAGAGAAATGCTGTAAGGATATGCCCAAAATGCATCACGTGGGAAAAGACCTTGGCTGCTGCCCTGGAACAGTTATCCAGGTAATGCAGGGGATACCAGTGATAATGCAGGGATTGTCAAACATTGGTTCTGACCCTAAGCTGCCTGGGCCCAAATCCACAGTCTTGGCTTTGATAATTCATATTACAAACAGAAAATCTGAGCAGAATCAGACTCATGAAACAACAGAAATGTTGTTTCTCAGCAATAGAAACTTCTGTGTTTTGTGAGCTGAATTACGAGGAAAAATCCCTTACATTTCTGTTTTGTCTTTGGTCACGTGTGAGCAGGTGGCAAACCAAATATAATAGTTCTTTCCTTTTATAGCAGCAAAATACAGTCTAAAGTTCTCAGATTTCTGTTCAGTTGTTATCAGTATTTGTCTCCTTAGTGAATACGCCAGACAGCCATTTGGATAACAGCATTACTCTGCTTACTCCCCTGTCCTGAATGTTCATAGTCCAAGAGTTTAACTACTCACTGAGCAAGATGAGCTAGATTCATTTCTTCTCTGGAAGTGGTGGAATTACACCAGAAATTGTACCCATTTTTACAATTTTAACTTCCTCTGACTGTAGTAATGCATTTGTACAGATGGGCTGAATTAATTCTTGCTTATGAGAATTTGAACATGTCCTGCTAATATTCTCATTATATATTTTTACCCAGTGAAATTATTTCTAAAAAGAAAATTTTAAAATGGGACATTTCCTCATTTGAGAGCATCTTCACATTCACAGCCATTTACATTCATGATATCAGCTTTTGATTCTTGAGTCAAGGAAGTAACTGCAAGAAACAGCAGATTCATTTTCTCTGTGCAGATCAGCCAGTATCTGAGAATGAGATTACTTTGGCTGCACACAGCTATCTGTTGTACTAGCAAAGACAATCAAGGACCTTCCTGTCCACTCTTCTCTTTTCCTGTTGATTCTTTCCCTCTTATTCTTCACTTGAAGTTGAACCATGTGTAAGCTTTCCTACCAAGAAATGGACAACTCCATTTTGAGAATCCTGAGTTAAATGTATGCAGAAAAGTGTCCTAGCATGATCTCAGGTCCTTCTGCCACTGTTTGACCCAGCTTGGACTTCTGCCCTTATATCCTCAAGGAGGATGATCTTGTCCTACATCCTACTGATCTTTTCCTACTATTGCTATCTCATAACAACAGAAATAATAATATACAGTTCTTATTCAGTAATTTTACTTGCAGATCTCAGAAGTTCTTTACAAATGACTTCAGTGCCACTGGTAATAACCAGAACAGAATAGAATGAAACCTATTCTTAAATGCTACAGGGAATGCATTTTTTACAAGGCAAGTATGAAATTATAAATGTTTACTTCAACTTTTTATTTCAACAGTGTCTTTCCTCCATCATACAAACCCTAAAATTTTATCACAAAAATAAAATAATAAAATGTATGAATAATTAAGCATGAAAACAGGATTGAGTTAGCAATGCATAACTAAGTTATTCAAGAACAATCCTGCTAAGGTTACAAAACTGGGTTTTATCTTATGATTCTGTAAGTATACAAGCACAAAGAATTCTTGTATCTATTCTTAAAAGTATAGAATGTGATCTTATAATTTTCTGTTCAAGCAGATGAATGTGTGTGAACAAGGTAGTATTATTATTCTGCCTGGAAAATACTTGAACAGGCACCAGTCATAGGGAAACACTGAATTTCAGTCAAATGGATTCTGTCATGCAGTGCTCTAAGAAGAAGGTTTACTCACATCAATAGATCTCATAAATATATTGCCTTTCATTTCATGAAAGCTACTCATTTGTGTATGGTTTATCTGCATGATTAAGAAAATTCTACTCAGCCTGTGATATGCAGAAACATTTCTCTTTTCACCAAAATAGATGTTTTCTGAGTAAATATGTGTGAACAATTATTTTCTACCTCAACTGAACATAGGCACAACACTCATCAGGCAATATGTACAGGTCAGCATCCTGATGGAGAATCCCAAATTGCTGACAACTTCAGGCTGTTGCTAAGGCTGTTAATCTGCTTCTGGCTGTTTTTTTGTCTCGGTTGCTGGGGGACCAAACGCTGCTTCTAAATCCTCTACTGCAGGTGCATCAGTATAATCTAGTTTCACTTTGCAGACAAAGGACCTCTTCTAATGCAAGAAAGGAAAACCTAGGTACCATGGTGATGAGGATCTGATAAAATAGTTAAGCAAACAAAATTACATCTACAGGAGAAAAAAATGTAGTAGGTGCAGAACATCACACGTGCAGCACTTCCCTACCAGACAAAAATTATTCCAGACAAGAAAGGAGAAACTGTCTGAAATGAAACATCATGGTCCTGACACCATACACATCTGGGTGAACAGAATGAACAAGAGATAACTGGTATGAAGTAGGAAGATTGTGTTGCTAGCTGAATGAGCTCAAGATGCATCCAATCCAGTGGCTTCTTTCTAAGATGTTTACTAAAGAAGATGCTGGGAGAGCATTTTAGACAGAGTGATTTGTCTGTCTATCAGATTAAGGTAATTCTTCTAGCCACTTCTTTGGTTTTTTGATGTTTTTTTTGTTTGTTTGTTTTTATTTCTAACAGTTAATGAAATACATAATTTTGTTCTCTGAGTGGAATTAATAAAAACAATCCATGGTAAATCCATGAAAGCAAAGTGACCAGAGTGTTCCTAAAAGCATTATGCAGACAACCTAACCTTCTTTCTCCCTACATAATACAAAGCAAATGTGCTCATGAGAAAGATACAGCCATCCACACAAACATTCAATGTTTAGAAAAAAGAGAAACATCACCTTTTGAGTACTAATGATTAAAATTGGGCTATCCCCCAAATCTCACATGTAAATTGAAGACTATGTTATTTGCTATTCAAACATTGTGTTTATATGTGCTTTGCAACACACAGATTGTCACAGTTAACACAAGTATGTTCCCAGTAATCTAATTTTTAGCTTATTTTCCCAAGAAAGCAGGGCTTATGAGAAAGCACTGTCAGCCAGTTTATCCTTCTCCCTGGTGTTAAAGGATAGCATTTAAGATAGTCAGTGCTTTCTAACATTTTTTAAGAGAAGCAAAATATATTTACATTTTTAAACTTTCATGAAAACTAGCAAACAAGTGGAGGAGAGAAATCCAAGCTGATGAGTAGGGAGGAAAAGGCAGGCAGAATTTTGTTGTCATGCTTTCTGTTTGGCAGCAATGGAATGGTCAGTGATACATATTTGGTAATGATGTAATTTGTACATGCATAACTCCAAACTAGAAACTCTGCTTTTTCTGGAAAAGGGGAAAAGCATTGGAAGGGCAGTAGGATTAATCATCAAAGTGGCAATGGGCTGCTCGGGGAAAAAAGAATACAAACTGGCATGAACAGATTCATCGTGTATGGCAAAAACTTTTTCTATTGCCTGTAGTTAAAGATGGAATGCAAGCAGAGCCAAGAGTAAGCTAGAAGGACAACTGTAAGTCACGTGAACTGTAAATCACGTAGATCATGGGATTATTCTACTTCTTCAGATGATAGAGAATACAATTTAACAATCTTTGATTGAATATGAGGTAGTTGCTGCCTAAGTACAGAAATGCAAGATTTTTGTGATAACAGAATAATAAATTCTATTTAAGTGCTGAATTTAAACTGAAAACTATTTTCTCCATTTAAATTATACTGAAAGTTAAAATTATCTGATTAACCAATTACAATGAAGAAAACACTAATTAGTGAAGAAAAAACTGTACTTTCATTACCTTATGCATTTTTACAGTGTCTAGAGATTTCACAATTCTGCTGAAGTTCTGAAGACCAAGCTCTTCGAGTTGAAAAGTTGCCAAATAGCAAATAACTGTCAAAAGAGAAATATATTTAAAATGTATCAGGAAAGTCTGGTATACCCTCTGCTCAGCATGCTCTTGGACTTTGATCTTAAATACTCATCAATATTGCTTATCTAACTGGGCAATATAGTGCTTGACAGTTAGAAATTGTAAAAGGAAAGTTATAATATTCACCATATGCTTATTATTCACACGGTGACTATATTGTGGTTCATATAAATCAGTTACCTGTTTCTTGAGTTAGATCTAAGCTGGCACAAATTTACTGTTCTGTGAAGAATTAATACAGAATTCAGTGCAAAAATTGTAACAGTTATCTACTTACACTAAAAATGTAAAACAGTAGCTCTCCAAAAAGTACCCAGGTACTTGATACCTGCAAATATCTGTTTGCAAAACTGGGAGATCTATTAGTGCAGAATTTGGAATCCTCTTAGATCTTGCCATGATTTTGCAGACATTTCATTATGTCAACCTCATCGCTATAAAATAAGCAGCTCTGTCAATCTCTAAATGCTTGTTCCCACTCTCTGCTTTTACTTCCTGGCGTTACTTCTCTGGGGCAAGTACATCATGCACACAGCCAAGGTGAATCAGATTGTGGATTTTAACCTGAAACGGTTCCATTACCAGTTTGCTGGATGGTGGCTAAAAGTTTGTTCTAGCTCACGGGGGTGAGAATGGGAGGCCAGTGATGGGGATAAGGCCCATTTCTTTGGGCAGTTGTACCATCCATTATACCAAGTACATGCACATTCGATCAGTGAAATTCCATATCATTCTAGCAATAAGGCAGGGATATCAGGAGTCAAATGGCTCCTGAGAGGCATGACTGAAAAGTTGCTGAAAGAATTAAATTGTTATAAACAGCTCTCTTGTGATGCAGTGAACATTTTCAGTATAAGAAAGGTCATTTTGGCAAAATTTAAATTTATTGTACAAAACAAAAATTTTAAACATAAAAATTCTAGTATTTCATTTCCTTTTTATTTGCAAGTGACCATTTTGCATAGGTATTGCAATTTTTGTTTTTATTCTAAATTACAATGATAGCAGATTTTAAAACTGTGGAATTCTCTGAGAAATCCAAGTCTGATTCTCTCATTCCCTTCTGGCACGTATGCAGTTTGATACAGGAGGAATCAGCTCTTTGAGATTTCAACGGGCCTGCAAAGTTCACAAGCTTCTGCATCAGCTTTTACTTGACTATAATCACTTGCATCAATCAGACTTCACTCACACTGCAGTAATTTAGCTGCCACTAAACCAAGAAATTCTGAACCACTATGCTGCAACCAACTCAGCGTATCGTTAGGCTTCAATCTTGTGCTTTAGCATAGCAACATATTTAAGCAGTCTTAGTAGAATATACATTTATCTCCTACAAGCTTTATTAAATTCAAATCTGCTCACACATAGCAACAGCCTTTATAAGCAGCTTTGATCATTTAAGTGTCAATGCAGCTTGGCAAAGGGAATCACAAGCCGCTTAAAAAAATATAAGCCAATGACCTTAGACTCTCAACTTGTTGATAAAGGAAAATCTTCTGGGGTCTCCCCTTTGTCTATGATTAATGGACGCTTTTGAGTGGACCAGTCTGACAATCCAATTATAGCAACACTCAGCTTAAAGGTATAATTTACGTGATCCAGACACTGAAAAACAAAGCTTTGGAGAAATAGAGACAGTGAAGCATTATCATTTAGAACAAACTCAGTCTTCTCCGAATTTTGTCCCTGACATTCCCTTTAGGTTGTTACTTGATTTAGACTTCTATGTCTTTCCTGGGACTTTGAGAGAAGCAACTGGAATTACAGTAAAAATGAAATAGCTTTTAAAACATAAAATGTAGGTGTGCTTATGTTAGCTATGTTTTAATATTTTCAATCATTCTGAATGAAACAGTCTGGACGTTACAAAGTACCCCAAAAGGGTCAGAGAACCAATGCCAGCACAATTCATGATTCCAATTCATTTAGGAACTTTATAACTCAACTGAAGTGTATCTGTATTAAATGCATAGCATAAAAATATTTAAAAGATGACTTTTAAATACTTCTCAATGCCTGAAATCACATTGGTGATAGTACCTACTCTAGCTGATTAGCTCGTTCTATCAGATATAGTTGCTTTATAACTGATTTTTATCTAGTAACTAGTGTAAGGTAGATAACTGACCTAACACATGGAGACAAGACATAAGTCTATCTACAGCACTGTGATGACTAATGATGAAGAAACAAATATATGGATAGAAACAATGGTTTCTTATACTGTGAGACCTGCTGTGTTCCTCAACAGACAGAGCTTTGTTATTCAGTTTCATTTCTGAATGGCAAAGATATTGAATCTCATAGAAAACAATAAAGGAAAACAATGAGCTCTCAAGATACTTCTAGTGAGTGATGTTATTTCCAGCCTGTATGTTACAATTAACCTAATCTTTAGGTATAGTCTACTGAATTTTCTCAGGTAAATATCCAGCTGATACCTGTGAGAACCCAAACTAAATAACAATATCAAGATTTAGACATTACAACATTAGGCTATTGGAAAAGCCTACGTATTTCATACTGCACTGAGCATAATACTTTGAATGTAATAATAAGACTAATAAAATAATGTTTTTTAAAGATCTGTTTTAAACATATTTGCTGTTTTGAGGAAAGCTTACCTATGTAGAGATTACGCTCAGAAATCAGACAGTGCCTCCCATCGCGAGCAAAAAAGGCATTGACTACTACATCCAGTAAGGATTTATATTCTATGCATCCAGCTAGTGTTTCCAATACAAATTTTTCTTCTGCCACATTAAGAGTCTATAGAGACACAAAATTAATAATGATTATTGTTTTCTGGAAATAAAATGCTAGTTGTGTATAAAAAGAAGTACAATCATTTTGAGGTAACTGAAAAACACAAACACTGAATAGCTCAGAGGGCTGTCACCACATTTTTTAAAGAGAATCCTTTTTGGGTAACATTTTGCAAATCTAGGAACTGTAGTACAGATTTAGTAACAGATTTTCCCCAGATAACAAAAAGTCATTGAGAAAAAAAAATCATAAATGCTAAAATTTGTGTCTTTCTATTGTCCATCAGGCCATGTTCTTAACTTCTCAATTACCCTTCAACTGCTTTCCCCTCAACTACTAGTTGGTTAGCTTTGCAAGCATCTCTCATGAGTACTCCGGCATGAGAAAGGGCAGATAATTTAAAGGTGAAAGTAACATGCAGCTATCATCTTTTATTGCACTCATTATTGAAATTTATCAAAGACAATAAACCTTGAACAATATGCCTCTTGAAACAACCTCTCTATCTCAAATATTACAGCTTATTATCTGTTTTGTTGTGTAAAGCATAGTAAGCTTATGAGAGATGAATACTGGACAGTTCCATCTTTTTAATGTTTGGAAGCCTATATATCACAGTGTTGAGCAATGGCTTACTGGATGTAAGTAAAACATTGCAATATGTGTTCACAATGTCATTCTCATAAAAAATATCTAAACACATTCTCCTCATGACATTGAATTTCAGTTTTCCTGATTCCCAAGTGTTTAAGTTGAAAAAGAAGGATCCTGCCTGTGCATGAGATTGACTGACTCATGTACGAATATGTGCTGACTGGCATTATCTCTGCCCTTTGAGAGATTCCTAATGCCCTTAGTCTGCTTCTGGGGGCATATTTTCACTACTTCTTGACACTTAGCTATGGCTGGTCAAGTTGCCTTGAGAACAGAAGAGAATGTTTAGAACGCTTAAGCATAGGATTTGTGAAAACAATTTTCAAAATCTGTTAGTACTAGAAATACCACAAATTAAATGGAGAAATATCTGCAGAAAGCAAGCCTTGCTAGTGTGGGTGCATGATAATAAGCATGACAATAGGAGCTGTTTAGGGGAGGTCAGAAAAGGATGGGTAAGGAAAGAAAGAAAAGTTCTTGTTTCTGGAGGGAAGGAAAGGAAGGGAAGGAACATCAGCCATACCCTGCTTGAGACTCCTCAGGATAAGGATTTAGTTTAAGGTGAAACAAACATTTATGGAAGAAGATAATATTTGATGAAAAGATAAAATAGCTTTCACCTCCTGAGAGGACTGTGTAATTTCATGTACTGATCTTGCCTACTTCTAGGCAGAATATGCACGTTTTGCAGATGCTCTCTGATTAATTTATAGCACTTCAGATATCAGTGCTAGTCCTCTCCAGGGGTCTAATCAAAATGCCATGAAAATGAAAGAAAATATCCTCACTGACTTCACTGGGATTTGGATCAGTCACCAGAACTGAGTCCTCTTTCACCCCTGCAGTGAGTGAAAATGCTTCTAGCCATTTCAATAGGGAAAAAAGCTCTAGGATATAAATAGGAGAATGCACTGCTTCTACTATTTACAGTCTGTATTGCAGACACCAGCTAGTATTTTCATGTAACAATGCTGATCATCTCAAAGAGGAACAGGTAAAGCTATTTTCCCTTGTACTTATTAAGTTACATAAGCAGGATGTTGCAGAAAAATCAGATTCCATCCTTTTCTTAGAAAGATCATAACATGCATCTATTTCAGTAACCGATAATACAAACTAGATTCATGTGATTTAGAAGGACTTTTTTCCACTGCATATATCAAAATAATCTTCCATTAAATTATTTTCATATCAAAAAATAAACCAGTGACATTTGACATTTGGAGATCTTACTCACAGTTGAGTGGGCATGTGTGAGACATACAGCTGAACCAACACAAATGAGAACGATGAAGAGTTATGCCAAATAACACCATGTTCTTGCAAATGGAAAGCTCATAAACAGATTCCTCTTGCTATCAATATCAGAGGAATAAAGGAGTAGAACAGTGGATATGGAGTGGCTATTCCAGCTTTTCAGTAGGTGGGGTTTATAAAGGTCTATGATGGGTCTGATCTTGCAATTCTAATTGAAGCAAGTAATTCTGCTGAAAATAAAGTGAGTTATTTACATAGAGAAAGACACAAATATTGCGTGACAGTTTCTGTATTAGAGCATACCTTGTTATCATAGCAAAATCTTGATTCTAGCAGTCAGTTGGAAGAAAAACTGCCTGGGATGATTCAGTTTGATGCAAAACTTTTTTCCCTTCAGAATGAACAGATGCAGTTCATTTTTATAAAAAGCCTGATAAAATCACATCCCTATGTAAAATTCACTTGATGAAGGATCTCTATGGATGCGGATCATTTTTAGTAGATTTAATTGAAGATAGTTAATAAAAAGAAGGGGCTTTAATAAACAAAAATGAAGATATTATCTGGAGGGCATCAATCTGATGGGAAGATTATTAAAAAGCATTTAGGAAGATAAGCAAAGTGAAGCAGTGTTTGCATTCAGACAAAGAATAATAGAAATAAACATGTAGTTTTGAATGCGAATATCCATAATTTAAAGAACCAAGATAGATTTAAATAATTAAGTTAATGTGTTTTCCAGGCAATTCAAATTGAACTCTGTTTTAACACCAGTGAGGTCATAACACTGGAACAAGAGCATTTATATGCACTTACTATTTGTTTTTATGAGCCATAACAGACTCTCTGAGATCAAAGGTGAAAGCTGGCTTGTTGCAACTAGGAATCACACATCATGTAACGAAGGAACCCACGTTCTTGAAAATATTCCCAATGAAAAACAAGCCCAGTGTTGTGTTCCAGGCGTTATAAAATACTATGCAATAAACGCAAAGATTGTAAATAGCTGAATTACAAGTCAAAGTGTAATTTCTTTCCTGGAAGAAAATCACGTATGGGAACATAGTGGGAACAATCAACATAAATTCTTTTCACGACGTAAAATTAACATGATGCAGAAATAAAATATATGGAAATTAACACAGAATTTCCTCCAGACTAATTTTTATCATAACATTCTAATTAGAATGAACCAAATTTCATTTGTTTTACTCTAAAAACAGAAGGCTAACAATAAGTGAGATTCTCTAACTCCACTTGTTTATTAAAACAAGAAATAGGAGCTGCAAGGGGGAAATGAGACTGGAACAGGCCTTTCTCTCTTGTTTCCTAAGTGGCCTTGGAGAGATTATGTTCTCTCTTGAAAACTTGGTTTTCTAACCTGTGAGATTTACTTAGAACATATTCACATATGAATGAAAAATGCACAGTGATATAACAAGAATTTAAACTAAAAAAAAAAGGGAGAGTTAGATTAGATGTTAGGAGGAAATTTTTTACTCAGAGTGGTGAGGCATTGGAACAGGTTGCCCAGAGAAGCTGTCATTGACCCATCCCTGGAGGTGCTCAAGGCTGGGTTGGATGACTCCTGTGCACCCTGAGGTGTTGGAACTAGATTAACTGTAGCTATTAGGAGCATCTACTTCACTCCACAAAACTTACTTCATTCTGAAAGAAAATAGGTTTTGGTGTGTAGAATGTCCTCTGCTAACTTCTCCTTGCAGTTTCAGGTATCAGCAAGAGGCTGTCTGAAGTAACTTGAGGACGTGACACTTTACAATACTGGTGTCCATAGTGGCTCCCACAGGCTGGTAGAGAGCCTGGGGAAGGTGCTGAATCTCAGAACATATTCTGGAGTGACCTGTGCATGTTGCCTTTTTATTTTGAAAGAAATAACCTGGCTCAAATGTGTTGGTTTCACCAGGAACAATATCAAACAGCTGGACAATAAGGAAACAAGTATTTTCTGTGGGTTATCAACAGGTTATCAAAGAACTAGACAAGACATATCAGGTATCCTATTAGAAGGACATGAAGATTAGAAATATACAAATACAGTATTTAAAGATATATAATACTAATGAAACACAGTTGATAATGCATGGAATCTGATTATTCTCCCAGGAGATGGAAAACTATTTAATCAAATAGAAAACTCTAATAGAATAGAAAATAATAACTCGGTGAGAAGTCAAGTCTGATTCACTGGGAACCCACTTAGCTGAATGAAGAGCTGTGTCTTGCCATCATAAGGATTTGTACTTTTGAAATCTGACCCTGTTGATTTTTGTCTGGGCAGTAGTTCACAATGTTAGGTTTGCAAATTATAATGCTCCTACCATGAGACATAAAGGCTCAAATCGAGTGTGGTTTAAAGTGATGGCCTTAATCAGGATTCCAAGCAGAGGAAGTTTCTGCTGAAGTCATTAATACTGACTAATTGGTAAGTGGCCAAGCCTGGAGATCATGTGTACAAAAACAAAGCAGTATTTTGGGGACCACAAACCTATTACAAAATTTTCTATTTCACAGAAATAAAAAGAAGTCAAATGAATTTTCCATGAGAAATTATTATCACCTATTTGGTACTGAAGCATTTCCTAAAGCTGAATTCTGTATAAAAACTTATTTTGGTGGATAAATTCCCAGCAAAAATATTATGTAGCAAGTGAAGTGAAATAGAATGTTTTAAACTATCCCAGAGAAAGATTTTTGCCTTATCTATGACATCAGCTATGCTTTGTTTTCTTCTCCATTTGAAAGAGTTTAATAAGAATCCTAACATTCATGATTTTCTAATGGAGTTACTGCTTCTTTTGTCTTTACGTCACCTTTCCTGGGCTGAGGAGAGCAATGCTCTGAATATTAATTTTTACAAGTATTTATTTTGGCAGCAGTGAATTTAGCTGAATTTACCCAGTCTTTGCTCAGTGAAAAATGATTATTTTGAAACTGGATCAGTTCCCTGATGTAATTCAACACATGAATGCATAAAGAGTTATGCCAGTACAGTGCAAGAGGCAGAAAATAGGTGCCTAATTGGAAACTATTTAAGAAAGCAAATAGTCAAGAAATGCAAATGGATTCAACACCTCTAACTGTGGTCTCCCTATCAGACCTCTGAAGTTTTATATCCCTGTAGTCATTTATGCAGAATGAATACAAAAGAAACTAATTACATGGAATAGCAGCACTTTAGACTTTATTGTCAGAAGTGAAAACGAGTAATTGAGCCACATGGCAGTAGAGAATCAGAGTTTTGACAATGTAGTTTGTTAGTATACAGCACGTACAGACGACAGTAGGCTAATAATACTTAACATCTTCACGACTTTTTAAAGCTGGTTCAATTCACTGGCTGCATCAGCTGAAGTTAGGGTGTCACTAAGGACAAAGAAATGTGAAAAGATGACAGAGCATGGTCAGTAAAGGATAGGAACTGCTCCAGCTACAGATTGGCAGACCTTGGTCTGGTAACTTGCAGTATTACATTAGAATCAGGTAGTCAATTTACTGCCAGTTGTCTTCTATCCCAATGTTGTGACAATCACTTTTGTCCTCAAAGCAAGAATACTTGATCCTGTGAATCAGCTTCTGAACTGCTTTTGTATATATAAATATGTGGTGCTGATGGGAACTTTCATTTGGAAGGAGAAAAGGAGAAAGGCAATGATAAAACAGTTTAGAAGTGGAAGAGAAACTTTCCCCCTGTGACTGTCAGATTCATTTTAGGACGTAGTTGTTTTCCCCACCTTTTGCTGCTACCCAGGCACTTTTTTTTTCTTTTTTTTTTTTTTTTTTTCTTTTCTGGTGATAACTACAAGAAATTTGGGCTTAAAATCATGAATGAAAAACATTGATACTGTAAGAAAAATCTAGGAAAGCTACAAGAGTATGTTAGAAAATTGATAACTTCATATTTAAAATAAGTTACTAAAATGTTGTAAACGATGTAAAATAAGCTGAAACTTAATGTACCTGCAACATCTTAGCTGATTCATTCAAGAAATCCTCCACGCTCTGATTTTCTGGGTTAAATTTATTAAGCTGTTGGATTATTATTGTGATATGTTTTCCATGGCTGACCATCTTCACCATGGAGAATCCTATAAATATAGTAAATCATTAATTTTTCATGCCTTCTTCAGTTGTAGCATAATGTATGTTGATAGGTTCATAGAGAAAATACACTGCAGTAATGTGCAAGAGAACATTTAGGTCAAGCTTTCAAGATCACAGTTATTCAGAACTGCTACCAGAAGAAATGAGAAAACTGTAGAAATGTCAATAAAATACAAGAGATAATTAGATATTTCTTATTTTGCAAATATCTCTAGAGATCACCGGGATGATACTTTAAATGGTTTCTGTATCAGGTTACTTGATACAAAGTAATTAAATACAATCTTGAGAAAAGCATTAATTTTTGCATGTGTGCTATACTGGTTCTACTTAACACACTGATCTTCCCAGTGAGATGTAAATGAAAACAGAATTTTTAGTCTTAAATTCTGTTACACATTGTTGTTAACAGCTTATTTTTCAAAAAGAACAACAACAACAAAAAAAAGGAATAGGAATAGAGACATACTAAATTTAAGGAAGTCAGCAGGCTGGACAGTGATGACAACACATAGGTAGCCTCAGCCACTGAGCCACTGCCAAGGTTTCTGAAGGCACAGCAGCTTGTTACTTTTTATGCTTGATGTTTTGTTTCAGAAGTGAAAGGATTGTATCTGTCTCAAATGATGTCTTACTCATAGGTGTGAGAGTTCACAGAGCTGGCTACCTGGATTTTAATGTTTGTGTGACGAGCTATAATTCATTAGCTTATACACATGTGTGTGTTGCTGTGTTAAAGACCAATGATAGCAATGATCAGGTCTGAAAGTCATTAAGCTGGCTTAGCAATCAGGAAAAAAAAATGAACACAAGTAATTATGCATGGTGGAAAAATATGTTTTTGAAAATTGTTCTTGCATTTTATATATATATATTCTGCTGTTGGGAAAGAAAGCTTCATCAAGATGATTCATTGCACTGTGGTAAAGATAATTCATTTCTTGTTGTAAAAGGATGTTGTAATATTCCCTGATACTGTGTTCTTATACCCTGCCTTTCAGCACTATCAAACTCACTTATAATTGCCTAAGCAGTATTTTAATTACTAGATTACTGCTGAAAAGAAAGTGTTTGTCTGTGATTATGTGCAATATATGCATTTGGTTACCTCGTGTGATGAAGACAAAATGTCCAAATTAAAAAAATGACCAGCAAGACAAGATTGGATCAAGACAAGTGATGACAAGTACAGAAGTGCTACAGTGCCTGTGCCATAGGGGCAATCATCATTTCTGCCCTCCTCTGCAGAACATTACACAACTCTCTGTACCTGCCAAGGTTCTTACACTCACAAGGAATTCTGGATAAAGGAGAGAAAAATACCTCAGCACTCATTCAGACTGAATCATAATTCAGACTCCAGCAGGTCTCCCAGTGACAAATCTTCTCCTGGCATAGTAGAAATCAGCTGGAGCTCTCATCCTTTGTACATGCTGATATTCCTCCCTCTTCCTCCCTCCCAAAAACCAGTCATTACAAAGACCAAATAAAAGGAAACTGACAGCTCGAGTGCTCTGGACACAGAGGGGCTCTTCCCCTGTGAACGCATTGAACAAACTGCTGTGATTATCATCCTGTTTTAAAACATACACACATACAACCCCAAACTAAACGCACTGAGTTACGGAGTGCATCCGGACGTTCAGGAGAAAATGCTAACTGTGGTGTACGATAGAAATTGTTGAAGAAAATGTTGCGTTCCGTTACCTGATCCAGAACTCCTGTTAAAGGAGGAACCCGAAGTGGCCATACTTTGCAGCACAGCCTGGAGATACTCGGAAAGCAACTGCATGCACTAAGCCTGACCACAGACTGATCTGAGAGATTCTTTCAGGTTTTATATTCGCTCCTCGCCTACAAAGACCGAGATTGCCGCTTGACCGAAGTCACCACAGCGAAGCAATCCCAGCCCCAGCGAGCGCCTCACCGCACATTCACCATTTCACCCGCTCCTCCGCCCCAGCCGCCGCAGCGCCGCGGTTGCTGAGGGGCGCGGGGGCTGACGGGAGCTGGAGTTCTTCGCGCGCTCTCCTTCGTGCGGCTCGGCGGCGCCAGCGTTGGCGCAGAACTACCCGCGCAGGAGAAAAGATGGCGGCGATTGTTTGCCGCCGTTGCTGAGCAACGCGATTATTCTCTCCTTGGTTCTTGCGCTAATGAGAGGCTTAGAAATTAATCGGCCGATTGCTACGCACTCAGATAAAGATAGCTGTGACGAGCAGAGGCTTGGCGTCCTGAACGCGACACGCTCAGCATCACTCCTGGGGAGAAGACTACAAATCCCGGCATCCGCTGCGCCGCCACGCTCCGCATCGCACCTCCTACTGCGTCGTGAGGCATGCTGGGAAGTGTAGTCCTCCGCCCCCGCCTCGTGTTACGCAAATAAGCGGCCAGGCGGGCGGGGCGATCCCTCCGGAGGCCGCACCCAGCCGCCTTCCGATTGGTCGCGGGGCCGGTGGGCGGTGCCGATGGAGCGCGTGGACCTGCTTCTGCGCATGCGCCCAGCGGCGAGGGGGCGCCGCTGTCGGGCGGGCGGCCGCGCAATGTTTTGGGGGCGGGCGCTGAGGCGCGGAGCAGTCGGCGCTGCCCGTGCCGGCGGCCGGTCCGTGCGCTGAAGCGGCGGCGCGCAGCCTTCGTTCGGGCGGCGCTGAGACCTTCCGCCCCGCGGAGCCTCCCGGCGAGCGGCAGGGCTCGCCCCGCTCCCCGAGCAGCCCGCTCTGCGGGCGGGCATCCGGCAGCCCCCGTGGCCGCAGCCGGCGGGCGGCGCGCTCCGAGCGGCGGCGGCGGGGCAGCGGCCGCGGGGATGATGAACAGGTTCCGAAAGTGGCTCTACAAACCCAAGGTGAGCGGCGGGGCGGCGGGAGGTCCGGGCGCCGCCGCCTCGGCGCTGCCCGCGCGGCTCCGGGGGTCGCGAGGGGGCTGAGGGCTCTGCGGAGGGCTCGCGGCCGCCGCGTGGCGAAGCGGTTCCCCTCCGGCACGAGCGGCACCTTGCGCCGAGCTCGGGGCGCCGCGAGGAGCGCCGCTGGATTGCGGTCTCCGTTTCCCGTCGGCGGCGTGATTCACCTTACGGAGCACTCGGCTGAATTTTGTCCTGTCACCGCCACCCGTCCTTCCTCCAGCGTTCGGCGGCAGCGCCGAGGCTCGTTCCCGTCGCCGTTTCCCGCACGCAGCTCGTTCACCCGCGTGACAGCGCTGCTGGGCTGGGGGAAATAGAAGGAAAAGTTGAGATGAGACTGCAGAACTGGAGCGCGGGTGGCGGCGGTCCGTGCGTGGGGGACGCGGTGTTCCGACGCCGCTCCGAGCGGCCGCGGTGGAAATCAAGGGGAGACGAGGAAGGGAAAGGCAGCAGCTGACTGCAAATAGTTTTCCAGAGACTTCTTGTTTTATATCAGTGAACTTTTAGTGAGCTGGAAGAGAATATGCACGGAATTAAGTGCGCACGAAATTGCAAGTGTCGCTTTTGCCGCGATTTCCGAATCAAAATGAATCGGATTTCACATTAATAATAAAAAATAATCTTACATAAATCTTCTTTCTAATCGAGGTTCTGTCTCTTTATGGTAAGACCTACCTACCCCTGTGCAGTACCTTGCTGTACGCTGTGCTCTCAGTACCCAGTGTGTGCACTGGGCGGTGCATGCTCTTATTTCCATGGGGCTGAGCTGTGCTGGGGGACCTTCCCAGCCCATTGCGTGCTGCTGGCCCCACCTAGCACTGTCATCTCGTGCCATTGCACTGCAGGCAGCAGCAGGGCCTTCCTGCTCCAGGGAGCTGCCTGAGGTAGGCAGAGTTGTCGCCAACTGAGACTTTGTTTGCAAATGGTCCTTGTTGGTTTCTGGAGCTTATTGCGCTGCCTTTAAACTCATGTTCAAAATGGGTCGGTGTGACAGTGTGTTCTTTAGAAATAGCCTTTTTTTCCCCTCATGTGCCTATTGAATTCTTATGGATAACATAGTTAACTTAATAATGAAATGTTTCAAACCTCAGCATGTTTTGGCAGTGTTTGAGATGGAGTTCTCATATAGGGAATTCCAGTACTTGAAAGGAGCTTATAAACAGAAGTGGGACTGAGTTTTTACACGAGCAGATATCAGCGGGATGAGGGGATATGGCTTTAAACGTACAGAGGGGAGATCTAGATTAGTTGTTAGGAAGGAATTCTTTGCTCAAGAATGTGGTGAGGCTCTGGCACAGGTTGCCCAGAGAAGCGTGGCTGCCCCAGCCCTGGAGATTGTGAGAGCTGGGATGGATGGGCCCTGGGCAGCCTGAGCTGGTTGGGAGCACCCAGCCCATAGCAGGGAGTTGGGGCTGGGTGGGCTGTGAAGTCCCATCCAACCTCAGCCATTCTGCGATTGTGTGATTCTGTGACTGTAACTTCCCTGGTTATACTGCTTACTGTCTTTTTTTTGTCAAGGTGTTGAGGTTTCTTCTGCTAAGGTTAATGGGTTCCAAGCTTTCTTTTTGAATGCTTTGGAATATTGTGTATCCTGAGATGGCTACTTTTGGGATATTCAATCTGGTGAGGGCTATCATTACTGAGGTTGCTTAGTTATAATCTTGTTAGGCACTGCAGGTTCCAGGTATGTTTTATCAGTTACATATTGCTATTGCTTGTGTTGGAACTGCTTCTCTTGAGGCTTTCCAGATGCTAGTATCATGTAATAGACTTCTGCATGGCAGCATATGTTGCTGGCTGTTTGTTGTTTGGTTACATCCAGAGGGAACTTCGAAGGCAGTGCAGGAATGGGATTGGGAAGGAGCTGGAAGCAATGAGCTCAGAGCACAGAGCATTCACAGTGCAGCACATTCAGAGACCTCAATAAATGCTCTGATCCCAGGGAAATTGATAGTTCTTGATATGAAATGAACTTGATAGTTCTATTCCCCAAAAGTATTTGTGTAAACTGTTTCAAGTATTATTTTTACATGGGGGAGGCTAAAAAAAAATGAAACAGAGCAGGTATTGCTTAACAGGATGTAATTACAAAGCTATCAGTATAATTGTCAAGTTGCTGCAAGAGGCAGGACCTGCATTAAGACAGACACTGACTTAGAAACTGCTGCATCTGTTTGAACATAGCAAGGATGTGAGAGAAAATATTAGTGTAGGGAAGTGCAAAGTCCTGACTAATGCTGGGAGCACATCACGAGGACAGCATGACTTTCCTGCATCCTTATGCTCTTGCTATGTGGCCCTGTTCTGGCTCTCCAGGTATGCTGGATACCCAGATTTAATAAACCGGGTCTAATGCTGATGGTTGAGGTAAACAAAGAGTGAAACAGATAACAGCAACATGATCTATGCAGCTGGTAGGAGGCTGCTCTCAGCTGAGATCATAGAGGCAGAGCAGAGAGATGAGGCTTTGTTTTCAAACTTCCGTGCTACATAGGTTGCAATCTAATTTTTGAGTGGTTTCTGTGAGGTGAATCTGCAGTCCCCAAACAGGAAACAACATGGTAAGTTATTGGAAAGGAGTTAGTGTTTACTTCTGAACCAGGAGAAGGTGCAGAGAAGTGACTGCAAGCAGCTCAGGGCTGCAGCATGCAGAAGCTGTGTTCTGTGACTGCCTCAGGATGCTGCAGGCATCCCACTACCTCCTTGGCACAGCTGCTGCTCTGAGAAAAAGGGTGACTCCTAAATGCAAATGTTTGAATGCACACACAGATATAATAGAAACATTTCCTGTCACTCCTTATCCTGTGCCTTTTGCTGTCGGAACATTCCACAGGTGCTAGGTCAGAGCCTGCTCCCAGGCAGATGTCAGCATCCCACAGAAGGATTGGAACAGGCTGCTTTTGTACAGTTACGAAATGCTTTTGATAACCAAAGTATTCAGAAAAACTCCTATGAATGCTGCTACTTGAGGTTGGAGAATAGCTTGAGCAAAGAACAGGTAACTTGCTCACCAGGGTCAATATTGAATGGAGCTCTGATTTATCGATATTTTGGAAGAACTGTTCTGTATTTGACTAGGAAAGAAAAAATCTGTTTCCAGCCACAATTTAAAGATATTTTAATCTGCCTAGTATAAGACTGCAGTATCTCTGATGGATGTTCACTTTCTGTATTATTCTTTTGGGGGAATAAAAGCCAAGAAATATGTTTTTCTTGATTTCTTTTTTTTTTTTCAGGTGTTCATTCGTTACCCTATTTTTATTTTTATTTTTTTGCTCTTATCTTCTTTTACTATGTGACAGTAGGTGCATCTTGTGATGAATGTTCAAGAATTCCTTACATTCTTGGTTAACACGAAATTCTTACTTATTGGTATAGCAGGTGCCTTGTTTTATGCATGCTTTGTCCCAGTCAGGTGTTCACCAGGCTGGCAAGAGCCTGGAGGCATGATGCTGTTTTTTAGCACCCCTTCTGCCTAGGACTGACCTAGGAAGAAGACACTGTGCAAATAAGAACATTCTTAGGGAATAAAGAGTAATTGCCTAATGTAGAAAAGTGAGAGCCAGTGGCAATAAAAAATAATTAATCAAATAACTTCTAGGAGCTTCTGCATTGCCTTGTGCAAGGATAGGGGTGGTGCTGGTGTTTGTTTTGTTCTTTTTTTATTTAAGAGCGGGTAAGAACTGAGCTTTAAAAGTTGCATGTGAGAATGTTATCTTGCTTAGGAGCATTCCTGGAGTTACTTTATAAATAGAAATAGGAAATAAATATTATGAAAAATAGCCAAAAATGATTTTTTTTTTTGAAAGAAGGAGGAAAAGATGTTAGTAGGAATTTCTGAAGGGAAAATAAAGTTGTATATAGAAGATGAATAGAAATATGAACTACAGAGCAACAGAATATAGTAAAAATTAGTCTCAAGGATGTGCTTAACACACTGTGAAGAACACTTGTAAAGTTGATTCAGTAGAATGAGGTGTAAGAAGGGGGAGGATTATTTTAAGCTGTATTTTCATTTCTCACCATTTCTGCCCATCATAAAAAGATGAAACTGCTGGAGTAGCCAAGCAACTGTTGAGACAAGTTTTGAGTGAGTAAATGGAAAAGGAAGGACCAGTTTACAGAGTAATAGTTGGGAAGCAATATTTCATTTTAGCTGTGATTTCTACATCTTAGAAGTGAAATATTTACTCCTCACAAGAGAGAGCCAGAGTGACTTCGGTCTTGAGGAAAAGTGTCTTAGGAGAACTTGAAGAAAGAGTGAAAGAAGTAAATATTATTTGTAGCAGAAATTTGGTGCTGTAATCCAAGTTTCTGCACCATGCTGTTTGTGATAAAAATGTGGTACTTAGTGCCATGTGTATATTAACATCTAATGGCTTCCAAAGACAGAAGAATCAGGAATCTGTCTTATTTGGGGAAGCAGCACTGGATTTCTGAACATACTCACTGTTTTTTAAATCAGCTCTTTGATCTTGCTCAATTACCTGCTTGATTCTTGTTACTACTGTCTGATCAGAAGCTGCAGCTACAGTGATCAGCAATATTGATAAAAATCCTGAGAAAGGCAACCTATAAATCAGCATACGTTATTCTAGCTTCACAGTTCTGCTTCATTTTCAAAGCACCATCTAGTGGTTTGAACTCCAGTATGGAAACTAATAATTCTTTGCTGTTTGTTCTGCAGCTCAGCAGCTAACTTAAAATAATTACCTCAAGTCGTATTATTTCCTAGCCTTGGTTTACCTATGTCTGAAAAAGTCAAGTAGATAAACTGCTGGAGTTGTCGGCTAA